ATCAAGCGGACAAGTAGTAGGATGATTAGAAAGGATGAGTTTGGATATACTGTATATATACTGTATATATATATATATATATGTTATTTCAGCAAAAATGTTTTTGGTTTAGTTAATAACCCTGGTAGATACATGACATATATGTGTGATACTGTCACATGATGAACTCAAGCTGTTGAGGTTGCAGTGTTCATATGCATTAAGTGTTCAAAGCTCTGTGACCGTCACACTATCTGTGACCTCTCCACCGCCTCTTTATGCCCTATTATTTCAAAATGAATGATTATTTCATAGTTCAATATTTCAGGGGCGTGTCTAGAGCATTTTAAATGGAGGGGCCTGTCGGGGGCACTGGCTCAAAAGAGAGTGGCCGATGGGGGGGGCGGATGTTGTGTTTGCGGAACGATGTCACTAAACAAGTGACAGTGGAGAAATTCGTCCTCGCGCGAGCCTACCGCAAGACATCTGGTAGGGGGGGCACCTGGGGTGGCCAACCAAATTTCAGGGGGGTCCGGTGCCACCCCTGGCCACCACGTAGACACGCCCTGATAGTTCAAACATGAATAATTTGAGTTTAAGAAAGTCTTGCATTGGTGTAATTAGTTGATTTTGAATTAATGTTGAAAGGGGTGTGGCATGTTTCTCAAAAAAGAATAAAAAAATAATTAAAACAAATATTTAAAATATTTCCTCGCCTCATTTTAAAACATCTCGTCACCCTATACAGATAATGGTCTATGCATATAACAATAACTTTAAGCATATAACATTGTTAACTTTCAATAAAAACAATATCAATTATCAATAATAATAATAATAATCAAATTATCAATAACTTTATAACATTGTTTATTGATTAATTAAATAGCTACATTGTACTGCGATTAAAGTGGTGACTGAATAATAATAAAAACTTTTTTTAGTTCTTTATTTAAAACAGAAACATATTACAATTTAAAATAGGTTTTCTATTTGAATATATTTTAAAATGTAATTTATTGCTGTGATGCAAAGCTGAATTTTTAGCATCATTAATCCAGTCTTCAGTCACATGATCCTTCAGAAACCATTCGAATATGCTGATTTGCTGTTCAAGAAACATTTATTCTTATTATCAATGTTGAAAACAGTTATGCTGCTTAATACTATTTATTGTATTTTTTGATGAATAGAAAGCAAAAAGAGCAGCATTTATTTAAAATAAAGATGTTTTAACATAAAATGTCTTTACTGTCACTTTTGATCAATTTAATGTGTCCTTGCTGAATAAAAGTATTCATATTTTAGTCAGTGTAAAATCAGTTTCTGTTGATTCACGTGCAGTACTCATGTTGGTCTATGACTGTTTAAGTCTGCTTTTGTACTAGATCTCAAAGCTTTTACAAAACTCTATAATGCAAAACTCTCCTTCAGTCCCCCACAATACATTTGATCAGTTTGTTCTCATCACAGTCTGTGCCCTTTACACAGTCAGCAAGAGCTTCCGTCATGCAGAGTTATGTCTTCAAGTGTCCTCTAAAGTCAAACAGGCCCAGAAGCTGTGAATAATTTGTCTTGCAGAGAAGGTGAGCTGTGTGCCTTTGAAAGCCCTCAGGACTGAATCCCGACAGCTGAACTTCCTCAACCCTCTTCATCAGTCCTGACATGTGACTCAGCCACGTTTTTACCTTTCAAGTCCTAGAGAGTATAACACCCCTTTCCCTTCTTAAAGGGAGAGAGTTCACCCAAAAATGAACTATCTGTCATCATTTACTCATTCTCATGTTTTCATACATTGACTTGCTTTCTTCTGAAGAACATAAAAAGATATTTGGAAGAACATTTATAATCTTCTGAAGTTAAGATTTTAAGTCAATAATGAGTTCAATTTTGATCTGTTTGTTGTATGACTTCAAACAACTTGGAACTCTTTTAAAAATGAAGGTTTTTATTGGCATTGATGGTTCTATGAAGAACCTTTATATCCATGAAACATTTCCATTGTACACAAGGTTCTTTATAGTGGAAAAGGGTTTATAGTAAAAAGAGTAGATTATTAAAATGTTCTTTAAACTAAGAAACTTTTAAGAAATGTTCACTGAAAGATTCTTTGAGGAAGCAAACATTTTTATTTGAATGCATCACTGCAAAAACCACCTTTATTGAGAGCATGAATTATATGAACCATATTCGCTGCTTTTTTTAACCCTCTGACCCCAAATGTTCTTTCAATGCATGGAAAAGGGTTGTGTGAACATTCTTTAAATATTCTCCTTTTGTGTTCCGCAGAAGTAAGTTGTAAGGTTTTGAAACAACATGAAGTTGTGATCACATTTACTGTTATTTGAACATAATCGGCATAATAAAATGGCAGAAAGCTGCTTGGTTTGAATATGACTTCTGCGTGAACTGTGCTTCATACATTGCTAGACTGCAACTTTTTCAGTCCACTTTTTCAGCGGCATTGGTTTTTCCATTTATTTCTCCCATAGAGATTTTTTAAAAAGTCTTTTAAAAAGCCACCACAACCAAACCAACCAGCTTCAAGGTGAATCACATTACAAACTTTGAAAGCAGCAAACACGTATTTGAAAATCTAATAAAAAGACAAATACACAAGATTGTGTACTTTAATGAGGGGAAACTACAATCCCATGAAGCATAGCAAATTACATTATTGAATTAAAACGTATGGCATTACATTTCCGACGAGTGCTTGCGGTGTTCGGCCAATCACAATGCACTGGGTCAGCTGGCCAATCAGAGCAGACTGAGCTTGTCGGAAGGAGGGACTTTGTAGAAAACGAAGCGTTTGAGAGAGGCGGGGCATAGAGGACCTACAATAATGTACAGTATTTGAAAAATAATGTGTTTTTTGAACATTAAAGCGTGTCAACATATTCTGTTACACCAAATACACAAAATAATGATCTTTAAAAAAGCATCATATGACCCCTTTAAAACTTTGGAGCTCACTGTAGATCTGTCTTTATAAGTTTATAAGCTAATGATACAATTCAATTGATTAAATGAAGACAATGACTGTTGAATTCTATTGACAATAATTGAAATCATTGAACATTTTCTTTACTTGGGTGCATTACATCCTTTTAAGCATCTTTTGGTATTTCAAAAAGTCCCAAAGTTGCTTTAAAAAAAGATTTATTTTGGACTACAAATAAATGGTTTTTAGGAAGCATAAACTATAAGCTGTAACTGACTATCTTAGGAAAGATGGAGAGGAGACTGGATTATATTTCTAATGATTTTATTTAAATAAGACACAATATTCCTATTATTGAAATAAAGAAACAATTAGCCGCTTGTGGCTAAAAGTTGAAGAAAGTGTGGCTTTTGATACTGTCCCCAGACACGGACAGTGGGCCTATAACCTTATGCAAGCTCAGCAGCCTCTGCCGCAGGAAAACAATTCAAGCTACAAGGCTTTAAAAATCATTGTCTTGACATGAGAATTGGCTATAGGCAAAGAGTAATCACTATGCGGGTGATAGGCTTCCAAAACAGTTGTTCTTTCGTCCTTATCTTTCCCCTTCAAATCAAATGACATCCTCCATTCACACACATATCTGGTTTGTACAGTCACAACAATAAAATGCTTTATTGCCATTGTGTGTGAACAGACAGCAGGTCATCCTGACATTTCACCTGATCTACAAACACATCTCCCATGATGGCCAGCAATGTGCCCTGAAACTGCAGTGCTTGTTTTGATAGCAGTCGATGGCTCCAGAATCAGACATGTATGGAATGGAGATGAAATGATGCAGATATTCGAGCATTTAAAACAAAAGAGCATGATTATTGCAAACCCTTCACTTACTAAAACGAGTTTCATCTTTTACTAAACTACTTGGTCTTTTGATATAAGGTGCAGCATAAAAGGTTGCTTTGTTACTTTTAAAGCCTTTCTTATTGATCGTGTAATATTATGTTGGTTGTCAATGGTTGATCGTATGAGATGGGTTAATATCTTTCTATTGATTGCAAAAGCACAATACGTTATTGTTTGACAATATAAAAACGTTGCTTTGTGACGAGAAAAGCCTTCACTGACTGTCATTAGTTCCTGTACAAAACGTTAGTTATTATTCATAATAATCAGTGAAAATCATAAACGCATGCTTTTGTTGTCACAACAGCCAACATACGTATAAACATGTACGATAATGTGAATAGATTTGTTTTTTGTTGAACTGCAGATGACACAACCTTTGGGCATAGATTGATTTCAATATTTGAGGCTTGGTTTTATGACTGAAATATATTCTGCTTGTATAAAGCCAAGCTTTTAGGTGAATCTCATCAAAGCACTCAATTTCATATTTCTCCACAAATAAGAAAGAAAGAAAGAAAATGCTTAAATGAAATGAACATTTGTTTTAGGCCCATTAAGATATTTTGCATTGTGACATTTTTGACAATTCAATTCATTAATCCTTACATTTCAATTACCATAATGTGGAAAATATTATTTCCATTAATGCATTATGATTTTTGTTATAATAATTTTTGATGATTTTAATGAATTTGTGGTGGAAATGTTTTGAAAAAAAAAAAATATATATATATAAAATAAAAGAAAGTCACAATGCCAAAAAAAGCAAAAAGTGATTTTAATAGTCCTAGAAATAGCCTGATTTTTTCTTTATTTTAGCGACACATTTCTTTGTGAAATTCACGTTTTTATTTTAGACTATCACCAGCAGCATGTCCTAATAGCATGTTAAAGCTGAAAAAATTCAGCAGATTTTGAGAATAAAGTTTTAAAAGTTACAAGAGATTATGAGAATAAAGTTGCAATGTTACAATAAAAAAAATTATATATATATATATATAAAAATAACATTAAGTTTAAAAGTAGATGTAAAGTAACAGGAATCATACTCCATAATGGGGTTTACCAAAGAATTTCATCTGTCTTTTGGTGCATTTTAATCTCATAATGTTATGATTTTATTCTTGAAACTTAAATTTCATTATTCATATAAATTAAAAAAAAAAAAAAAAAAAAGTTACAATTTTATTATCAAAATCAGTTCCAACATGCCACTTAAACAGTACTGCAATAGACAGAAATGCATCTCACACACCTCCAACCTGTGATCTGAGCTGTAGTTTGTCTTATTAAATGCTAATATGTGTCATATAGTGACTGTGAGGATGCGTGTCTGATCCATGAGGGCTGTACGATGTCATGTTTCCAACTCGCAGTGTGTCCGACCCACTCAAACCTCCCAACATGGAATGTGATGGAACGCAGAGAAGGATGAGACGGAGTTTTACCTGAGTTTAAAGCCCGTGTGATGCACCTGAAGCGAGGTGGGCCGCAGGCGGACACTGTGCAACAAAGTGTGAAAACAAAACCTTCAGTACTTTTTCTCGTTCTGCACCATCGCCAGAAAGTAGGAAACCTGGACAGTCGTCAACCCGTGGAGTACAGCTCATTTCCCATAATGCACATAACACAGCAATACACGGTTTTAACTTCAAACAAGCTTTTTCTTTATATATAGACTTCTCATATATAGATATATTGATAGTGAGAGAGAGCTTATTCATACTGTGGATGTTGAAAGAGAACACGACACATAATTTAATGTTAAACATACGATCAGTTTCAAATGCATGCCCTGACACTAGTAAGACCTTCCTGAAAGCGTCAGTCGTCTTTCTCTTCGTAAATCGGTGGCTTTGCGCTGATTATAGTGCTCATATAAAAGCCACTTTGCTTAAATTTTAAGCACACGACGAAAGCAAAGCTGCGCTTGCTCGGGATCAACGCGGAATCAATCTGACACACACAAAAAAAAAGCAAAACGGGAATATCTGGAATGTGACTGAACTTATCAAATAGGCAAATTCAATAAATAAGATTTCTGTATGAGACTCTCACTCATTTATGGAGATAACAGTGAAGCCATTAGAATTTTGGATTTGCATATTCTAAGGTCCTTTTCCCAAAAACGCATCCTTCAGATGCCGTTCCCGTCCAGCCGCCGTACTCCAACCCTTCGGCTGCCTTTGCATTTGTGATTCTCGTTCGGGCCGCAGTTGCTATGCCATGCAGATAGTAAAGATTCAGCACAAAGGTGGGGTCAGGGGGGAGCAGGAAGGTTGGGGCGGGGAACGAACGGTCCTCTACACGGGTGCGGAGCGGCGCGACCGAGACCAGCTCTGCCGCGTTTAGCTGACTTCAAAGCTCTGAGGCTGGGAGGGAGATTCGGGAGGGTCATCTGTGCTCGTGCTGGTGGAGACCTGAGTGGGCATGTGGTGGTGTGAGCCGCTGGGGCCGGCCTGGCTCTCCTCTTTCTCCTCGTCCTCCTGCTGGGAGCCCGAGTGCTGGAGCTGGGATCCCGGGAGCTTGACGGGGCAGAATGCAGAGCCGGTGGAGATGAAGTTGACCTTGTTTTTGTCAGGGCAGGAGAAAAGGGGGACGGTGGCTGACTGTCTGGACCTGAGAAAGACAGGAAAGCAATTTAGGAGAATGTTCTAAATGGAATACTAATGCACACAGTATGTACCACAGCTCAGCATTAAGATTCATAGGAACTATCATTCGCCCTTTTAAGCCATTGTTGAGTTCTCACAATATAGGTGTGTATTTTGTATATTGTGATTTATTGAACATTGCTGCTGTGATGTGCCATAGCATATATGTGACCCTGGACCACAAAACCAGTCATAAGGGTCAATTTTTCTAAATTGAGATTTATACATAATCTGAAAGCTGAATAAATAAGCTTTCCATTGATGTATGGTTTGTTAGGACAGGACAATATTTGGCCGAGATACAACAACTATTTGAAAATCTGGAATCTGAGGGTGCAAAAAAATCAAAATATTGAGAAAATCACCTTTAAAGTTGTCCAGATGAAGTTCTTAGCAATGCATGTTACAAAAATTACATTTTAATATATTTACAGTAGGGAATTTACTAAATATCTTCATGGAACATGATCTTTAGTTAATATCCTAATGATTTTTGGCATTAAAAAAAAATCTATAATTTTGACCCATACAATGTGTTTTTGGCTATTGCTACAAATATACCCCAGCGACTTAAGACTGGGTTTGTGCTCCAGGGTCACATATATACCAGAAACAAATATGCATTCATTTTTCCCATTTTAAATCCAATTCCACGTAAAAATGTTCTTTTGACAATTCATGACATGATGATTGATATTCTGGTTTATGCATCACTCTCATCAGAGTATTCAATGCATACGCTGTGCACATTACACATACTGCATGCTAACAGTAGCAGAATGGCAGTGTGCTATTTTAGGCCCACTACTACAGAAATCAAACTCCACTCACGTCATTTCCTCAAACACTTTGATCTTCTCACAGCCCTCTGGAGGCTCCCGTTTGAACATGTAGCTGTTGTTGGGTTTTGGGGACGATGCGAATTTAGGCAGAGGAGAACTGCTGCCGCTGTCTGCAGGACAGAATTACAAACATCCAATAACTCTCTGGATTAATATCAGACACCTCTCATGATATAATACTGCAAACTTGAAACTGCTCTTTGACCGACAATCTGTCTTGGCCTCCAGTCCAGTGTGCAGGTCTGACCTCTGT